AAAGTAGTGACGAGCTTCTACCAAGGTCAGGTCCACAACCAATAGTACACAACAATCCATAACAAAATAAAGCAAATAATACCAGAAGTAACTCAGGGATAAAATAATCAGCCAGATAATGATTTTCAAAAATAGTAGTTCTTTCTTTCAAATACATCATTAAAAACCCAAATTGTTTGCCGAAGTTTCCAATAATATGAATAGTTTGAAAACAATAATTTCTCCAAAATATTCTCAATAATAAATAATATATTTCATTTTCCTTCCGGATAACCCGTGTAAAACAAATGCATCACTATGCCCATCTGTCAAAAATGTGTGAGAAATCAGGAATGATGTGATGTTGTACAGTNATAATTCGATACAATCAACACGAGGTATAGGAATCAATTCCATATGAAAATGCTAATTTTTCATTTCAAGAATAATTTTTCGTCGCCGCGAGCGCCCAGGGTAGCGTGGGGCGCTAGCCCTGGCGCTGGGAATTTTGGGATACTGGAAACTGCGCCACAGGCAGCGCCCCACGCTACCTGTGATGCCCGAAACATCTAAGGGTCTATAAAACGGGGTTCTTGCCATTTTTACTCATTTTTGAGTTTATGGAGCTCGGTTTAGGCGATTTTTGGGCGATTTTCATGAAAAAATATTGTGGTAAGTGTTCCTTATCCTATATTGATTATATTTCATGATTCCATATTCATTTACATCATGAATCCATGAATTTATGGAAGAAAAATCAGATTTTTATAAAATCTTCCAAAAATATAAAATGAAGATTTGAAGGTCAATCCGATGTCGGAATTTGATAATTTTTATATGGTTGGACTCGTATCGAAACGGGTGTTCATCTGCTCTTCGAGCTAAGAATGAGAGAACAGAGAGAGAAGAAAGTTCTGGAAATTTTGACTCTATTATTTCATCTATCTTTACACATGTGTAACCCTTTACATATATACCCCCTACTCTAACTTCTTCTGACAATACATATAACTATCTATTAGTACTAAACTTATACTAATTAATTATGTACAACTACCATTGCTTATGTACAACATTATACTGCACATGTTGATTTCAACAAATTATTTTTCTGCAAATAAATAGATTTTAAATGAAGAAGATGGGAATATACTTACAGCATCAAAGTCCTTGTTGATTGTCCTTAGGTAGTGATCAGAAGGATTCCTCATAGTTGTACACGGGAAGCCATTCAACGCAAAAAACTGAAAAAATATTAGTATTAAAGATTCATCATCAACTAATTTTAGACTTTTCATAATATTGAGTGACATCATTGTTATAGATTTAACTTATATCGACTGATTTATCAGTGTAATTTAACCTGTTATAGTAAGTTGTCTGTTTTATTTTCAGGTGATTAATTTCACTTATTATGAACCATGATAATGTTTTAAAAAAACAATCTTTTGTACTATATAGAAGTTAAACTCCTGTGACTATAGTGTTATAATACCTCATTTGCTGCAGAAATGGAACCAAAGTAGACAGTCCTACCAGAGGAGAGAAGGCAAAGATTGTGGAAAAGCTCAAAAACTTCACTACTTGGTTGATGAATAGAAGCAACAACAGTTCTTCCATCTTGTTTAGCCAATTGAACTATTCGATTCATAACATGGTAAGATGCTGCACTATCAAGTCCACTAGTTGGCTCGTCAAGGAAAAGAAGCTTTGGACGTGTTAGTATTTCAATGCAAATACTAACTCTTCTTTTTTGTCCACCACTTAATCCTTTTACACTCCACCCTCCAATTCTAGTATTCATTGCATCTTGTAAACCCATTTCTCTGATTGTTGCTTCAGCTCTTTCTTTCTTCTCGGATCTTGACATTGAATCTGGTAATTGGAGTTGTGCTGAATAATATATTGCTTCTCTCACTGTTAGTGTTGTCATCAGGGTATCATCTTGTGTCACATAAGCCTTTTGAAAAAGAAAAATATAAATAAAAGGATGTCATTTAATTAGTCACTAAACAAGCCTATAAAATATATCATAGTTTTAACATGCTATATTCCTAAAAATACTAAGTTAAAGTGTTAAACTCTGTTTTACACATTATATAGAAGTTAAACTCGACAAGAAAGAGGTGAGTTATTAGTTCTCCTTACCGATGTGCCAAAAGCAAGAGCTTGCCTCCGACCATTGACGAGGATTTCTCCAGTTTGTCTGGTGTTGGAATCCAATCTCCCTGCAATCAATGGTATTTTGCGTAAGTGGTGTTACACTTAAAAAAAAAAAGTAAACAAATGATTATTTTTTTTACCATAACACCAAACTCGGAGAATAAACTATGTCCCCGAGAAACGTTATGACTTGTAAAACAAGTAGAATATCATTAAGAATTTCTTTTTAAATAGATTTTAGATTTTAAATATTTTATCCTTAATAATAAACTTTTTTTTAGAGCCACTATTGTGATTTGTCATTTTTTTCTTACTTTTTTAAAGGAAAATATCTGGACGAATCACATGTCATTAGGATTAGGACTCTTTAACTTATAATAAATAAGTAAAAAATGTGCCCAAACTAAACAAAACGCTTAGAATCGAACCCACAACACACACTAGCATAATGAACTATGTTACCATTGGACTGGAGCACTTCACTTGTTCAAATGGTGTCACTGTAATAATATTTTACCGTTATTTCGTTTTTAATTTATCATTTATTCATAAATTTAGTGTTTTTTTTTGTGAAGCTTGTAAAGGTATGTATCCGCCCCTGCCTGCAATAGTATTAATTCCCAGCTTAAAATCAGATTTACAAACTTAAACATAAATTCTTGTTTTATTCCTCTGTTTTCTACGGTATAGAGGAAACGGGTGGGGTCAGAAATGTATACTGAGCAATGTGAACGTGGATTTCATAGAAAGATATTGTTAGTTAGCGTTTTACCATAGATTTTCAAATTTATTTTAAAAAATTTGATTTGTGTGAAGTTTGATTTGAAGATAAAAATCTGTTTGGACATATATCACTTTTTTTTGAAAAAACATGAAATGTGACTTATACTCATAAGTTCTAAAAATTATCAAAAATAGTCAACAATACCAAACAAATAAACTAGCTAATCCTGTATACGTAGAACCTTCATCGGTGCCATTCATTAATATTATCACAAACCATAGTCCTAAACATAGATATGTTTGGCACAAAATTATCATTTTTATAATGAACTACATAATACACTATCCTAAAATCATAACCTGACATTTTAATACAAATGTTAATAACACAATTACTAGCCACTATAATTCGTCAAATTGCAATAATATTACCAGATCCACCAGTCCAAAAGAAAATGATTGTAATTAGCTGGTGGGTTGGGTCATAATAGATGGTGGACTTTTTTATAAAATATAAAAGTTTGGGGTAATTTTTGAAATTATTAAAAAAAATAAACGGTGATATTTTAGGCCAAAAACAAGCCTATAGCTAGTTTTGGGATTTGGAAATTTTGTTTTAAAAATTTACCAAAACATGAATAAAATCTATAAACAAACATATTTTGTCAAAAAAAATTGAAAAAAATTTGGCAAAATCTACTGCCAAACGGGACTTATTTATTTTTTAATGTATCGACTAGCTAACAACTAGCGGGGTCTTTTTTAGATGGAGTAAAACATTTCTTTTTTTTAAATATATGGTTTAGATGGACCAATTCCTAGCATCAAATTAATCACCGAGGGATGTGACCACATAAATTTTTTACCTATCTATATTACATATAAAATTTATTTACTTTTCCTAATCAAATTTTAACTTAATTATATTAGCATATACAAATTACCAATTATATACAAATTAATATTAATGAGCACCCATTTATATTATGAATTGAATAAGGAAAAAATTATTTCTCATCCCCTCTCTCTCTCTCTCTCATTCTCCGTTCTTTCCCCAATTTTTCTTCCTTCATTTTTTTCTGCTTTTCCCCCTTTATTTTCAGAAAAATCATCAGTGAATTTCAATTGTTTTAATATAGAGTTTTAACTTATCAATTTTCTTTCATGTTGCGCAATTGGTGTTCGAATTAAAATTGTCAATCAATAAATTTTGAAGGTGTTTGATTCTCCACTATTGACAGCCATTAAAAAGCTCCGAAGCTTTGAATTCGAATTTGGGTTTTCAAAAATTATTGTTTGTTTGAATTGGGTGTTGTTGCAAATAATTAAAAATATTCTTTGGAGTTTATATCTCGTGTTTGGTGAAGATTAGACTTGATTTTGGCTGAATTTCAGACTGAAACTCGAAGAAGAAGAAGAAGAAGAAGAAAGAAAGAAGAAGAAGAAGAAGAAGAAGAAGAATACATGACATACAATATCCTTACGAAATTGTATTAAAGTTGTATGTAAATTGTATTATGTTATATTATACATTTTTTTATTTGAATGTTGTATGAAAGTTAAAAAATAGTTGTATAATGTACGAATCGTCCTATGAAATTTGTATTTAAGTTATAAATACTATCTTTTTATATTTATTTATATGTATCAAAATTAGATTAAAAGAGTAAGTTTTGATTGGAATTTCATAGAGAAAGAAAAACACACCACTTACAAAATATATACAAATCATATACAAAATACACAAAAAGACATATTGTATAAAATTTGTATGAGAATTATATTTAAGTTGTAGGATGTTGTATTCTGCCTATTGATAAATCATAGTTAAATGAAAGAAGTCAATATGCAAACACATATTATATATACATTGATTGAAGGACAAGCCATGTTGTGATTCAAGGTAACTTTTTATAATTTCGGGCTCATGGACAAGCCATGTTATGATTTCTTAAATTGGGATTAACCTTATGATATGAAAGGTAGAGCAATGAATAGCAAATAATTTCTGATAGGGGTTTATGAAAGATTCTACGCTGCTAAAGTTGTTTTATGTATTACTGAGTTTAGTGTGTTTCTTTGTTGAGTCCCATCCTAGATTAGGGAGCGGCGTCTTGGTGGGTCTCTTAGTTCTGTAACAATATGTTGTGCCTTAGGGTTTGTTATCCCTAGTCAGTAGGGTTTGTTACTAATGGACGAAGTTTAATTTCTGGTTTCTTGTCTGATTTTGCCAGAAATTAGTAGTAAGACTTTAGAGTCTTCGATCCTGACATGTGATACTTATTATTTACCCCAAAATTGGATAACAATTGAATTTATACGCGATTTTAAGGATATGTGATCTAATTTGATACAAAGTGAGAAATCAGATAAAAAATGGAAGAATAAGTAAAAAAATAAATGCGAACCATGAAGATTGAACAACTTAATCCTCGCAAGGTTAACTTCCTTCGAATTTAGATGTGATATTATTGAAGCCAGGATAATATTAACAAAGCTGAAAAAATAGTATCTTGTTCTTTGAAGTGAGTTACAATGTCTCCCAATTAGTGAGTTTCTTCTCTATATATTTAGGGAGATTAGGCTTTTAAGACATTATTTTATGTGAAATTATGTAGACCGTTAGCTCCTTTTTTGACTTAATCCCGTGATTTCCGCCATAAAGATTGGTTAATGGCAAGAATCACGGATCCTTGTCGGATGAGTTGGTAAAGTTCTTCTTCGAGGCCGTTAGAAGCAAGATCAGTCGTGCCTTTGGTAAACTCGAGGGCAAATCTGATGGTATTGTCGAACTTCGAACCTCGATATCGATCTCGGTTTCATCTATACCTTCGATCTTTTATAAATGTGCCGAGTCCGATCTATTGTTTCAGATGCTAGATCAAGCATCGAGCTCGGTTCAATCCGCATACACTTATCTCGCAAAAGTTGGAAGAGAGAGGTATCTATTGTGGTCCATGTGCACCAGCATAAATAGATGAAGAACGAAGGAAAAGAGATCGAAGTGAATTATGAAGTGATTATATTTTGAATTAGTCTTTTGTAAAAATGATTAAATCTATATATTGTAATTGTTTTTTCTTTTGGGGGAAACTGGAGAGATAAAAACTGGAGAGTAGTCATGTCCTCCTTATTGAAAGAGGAGTGGACAGAAAATAGGAAAATGATGTAATTAAGTCCCTAATTTAAGGCACTAATAATAGATTGTATATATATTGTAAGTAATCTTTGTTTAGGATGGGTAATATATAAAATTAGGATAATTTTGGTAAATAAGTTTCAAATATTGTATAGGAAGGAAAAAATCTTCCCCCTTACTAGGCCTATTTGTACAATTTAGAGGTATCAAATTTGCGGGTTAAGCTGATTTTGGGCGGATTAAAATGGGCCGAGTCAATAAATGAGTGAATCAATGACCCGCCAAAAAGTTATTTGGTCTGAGATGGGCTGGGTCAAAATAAGCTAAATTTGGGTCATAACCCAACCCGCCCAACTCTTATCAAGTTTTAATTAATGTGTGTTATTTTCGTATGGATTATTTAATTACTAAATAAGACTTTTTTTTATGGTGACATATAACATATCAAACAAAAAAGAATTATTTTAAAGATATTTTCAGAAAGTCACTCATGGATCAATTTGGGATAAAAATCAGCTCAACTTTAGATAAGCTCAGATGAGCTGGATCAAGATGGACTGAGTTCAATAAATAGGTGGATCAATGACTGACCTAATCTTGGATAGGTTGGGCGGGTCAAATGGGGTTGGGCTCAAATTTTCACCCACAGTATAACTTTGGGGCTTTTGTATTTATACCCGGTTTTGGAGTCACAATTGAATCTATACCCATTTTGCAAAAAAGTTTGCAAGCGTACCCACTTTACGATCAACTTCAGACTTATCGGGTCTGAAGTTAAAAAACTTTAGCCTGAAGTAAAAAAATTGCACTTCAAATGCACTTAAGGCCAAATAGGTCTGAAGTTTACCAATGGTTTCATGCACTTAAGGCTAATAAGTCTAAAGTGAACAATTGCACTTCAAATGCACTTAAGGCCAATAAGTCTGAAGTGAAAAATTATACTTCAAATGCACTTAAGGCCAAAAAGTCTGAAGTGCAACAAACGTTTTCATTCATTTAAGGCCAATAAGTCTGAAGTGAAAATTTGCACTTCGGATGCACTTAAAACCAAATAGGTCTGAAGTGTAACCAATAATTTCATGCACTTAAGGCCAATAAGTCTGAAGTGAAAAATTGCACTTCAGATGCATTTAAGGCCAAAAGGTCTGAAGTGCAACAAACGTTTTGCTACACTTAAGGCCAATAAGCTTGAAGTGAAAAATTGCACTTCAAATGCACTTAAGGCCGAAAGGTTTGAAGTGCAACAAACATTTTCATTCACTTAAGGCCAATAAGTCTGAAGTGAAAATTTGCACTTCAGATGCACTTAAGGCCAAATAGGTCTGAAGTATAACCAATGGTTTCATGCACTTAAGGCCAATAAGTTTGAAGTGAAATATTGCACTTCAGATGCACTTAATGCCAAAAGGTCTGAAGTGCAACAAATGTTTTGCTACACTTAAGACCAATAAGTCTAAAGTGAAAAATTGCATTTCAGATGCACTTAAGGCCAAAAGGTCTGAAGTGCAACTAACGTTTTTATGTACTTAAGGCCAAATAGGCCTGAAGTGCAAATTGCCCAGAAACAAAAATTTGTTGTTCGAATTATAACAACCCAATATACGATTTAATACCTAAATCTACTCCAAATGAGCTCAAATTCGAAACATAATTATAACCTCCAAATATCATCAGGAACAATCCCCAATCATCAATTTGTCAAAACAACAATAAATCTAATGAACCCATTTTGCAATTAAGAAAAAGAAGAAGAAGAAACCCTAAGCAATAGTAAAAAATAAAACGTCATAACAGCTCACCATTGTAAAATATCATAAACTACATTAAAATATGTTCACAACCACCATATAAAAAAATCATTGTCACCTGAAGAAGAAGAAGAAGAAGAAGAAGAAGAAGAAGAAGAAGAAGAAGAAAGAGGCGTGAAGTTGTTTAAAAAGTGGGTACAAGTTAAAACTTTAAAAAAAAATGGGTATAGGTTAAAAGAGACGACCAAATAGGGTGCCTGCAAAATTTTTACTATAACTTTAGATTAGTCGGACTAATAAACTTAGACTATTTAACCAAAACAATTGCAGTATTAGAATAGTACCTGCTAAAGTATCAAGAAGAGTAGATTTGCCACAACCAGAAGGACCCATAATGGCCAAGACTTGACCAGGTTGTACATAACCAGTCAGCCCTTGTAATATAGCTCTCCTCCCTGTTTTCTTGTCCGGCACTGTCACCCACAAATCTTTCCATGTCAAGTATATACCTTCATTACCACCACCTGTATTAAAAGGGACTACTTCATATGCAAAACCAGTAGTAGTACTATTTCCCTTTATCTCTTCCCTAAATATTGGTGGTGCTTCATATTTTTCCATTTCTAAGAACCTCTTTATCTCAGAATCAACCCTAAGAGATGGTGCTTCAATAGTAGCAATATGAGGTGGTGGACTATTACTAAATGGGAAATTTTTGGTTGGGTTGTTGTTGTTAAAAGGAATATCATCTTGAGAATAAGTGACACTTTCATTATCTGTTTCAGATTCTTGGCGTCTATGTGGTGATCTATTTGGACTAGGTGTCCATCTCGGAACATTATCCTGTAACTCCATTCCTAATATTTTTTCTCTCTATCTGCTGCTAGTTGCTGGGATTCTATATATATAGGAGAGAAGAAGATAAAGAGAAAGGCATATATGGAAATAAGTAAAGCTAATGCATGGAATAATGAGAGTGGTGAAAGAGGGTTCATATACCGTCAAACCTTTATATAACAGTCTCATTTGTTCCGAAAGATTTTTGGCTGTTATAGTAAAGTGCAGTTATAGAGAACATATATTATGACATAATATAATATTCGGTTCTGAGAATAACTCGGCATTTATAGTGAATAGTTATTATATAAGAATATTGATACAGAGAGGTGACCATTTATATAATGAAAATGAGGGAGGTGTTTGGAAATTAGAGTAATAATCTAGTTGTATAAAATAGTTAAATTAAATAAACCAGATTGACTTCAAACAAGGCATGGAAACTAAGAAACAAACGTATATATTCCATAAAATGAGACAATTTTGGCCTAGCTTGGTCTTCGTTTACTATTTCCTCTAGTGATAATTAAGAAGGTTGATCGGACTTGATTTTGTGAATTGTATAAAAAATATAAATATTGCTCCAATTAGCATCTTCACTTTGGAAAATTTTTGAATTATAATAAAATCTCAAATTCAAACTTAAAAAGTTTAAACCCTGAATTTGCTTTCTTTAATATCTTGGGACCAAACACTGTTGGCGGCACCCGTGTTTCGCTTGCGTAGCTCCTCTTGGCAGTCTCCAAAAGCACCCATTTAATAGCAGTATTTAGGCTTAGGCAGCTAGTATTATTCTTAAAGCAGGATAATTTAAAGCAAAGTAACTCCAACAAATTAATGTGAGAATGTTCCATGCATTTCTCAAGTCGGGCCAAACAAAAGAGAAGAGTTATAATAAGTTGATACTAATTAACTGTAGAATTAGTTGATTTATGATGAATCCTAGCGTAATAGGTAAGGATTCATATAACGATCTTAACTAGTTTCTGTCACGATCTAAAATCCAACTAGTCGTGATGACACCTAACCTAACCTGTTAGGTAAGCCAATTATCAACTATCTGATTCCAATGAAATTAATTAAAAGAAAATATCTAAAATCAATACGTTTCCCCAAGAACTAGTAGTACAAATCATGAGCTTCTAAGAATAGAGTATATAAAGTGGAAATGAAATAAATACATAGTCTGCTTGAATAATACATAAACAGAGCTTTTATAAATCTAAGGCTACCCTGAACAAGAGGCAGCTACAACAGGAATACAGGTATATCTTCAAATCCGGCAACCATCGAACACAGCAACAACGACAGCCAATATCTACGNAGGTTGAAAGTAGTGACGAGCTTGTACCAAGGTCAGAGTCCAACTTCCATAACCAACAATAGTTCATAACAATATTAAACAAGTAATACCAGAAGTAACTCAAAGAATAAATGCTCAACTAAATCATGACTTCTAAAAATAGTTCTGCCTTTCAAGTACATCAGTGAAAAACCCCAAATCGCTTACCGAAGTTACCAAAAATATGAATAAGTTTGAAAACAGTAATTTTTTTCTAAAATCCTTTCAATAATAAATAAAATGTCTCATTTTCTTTCCAGATAACCAGTGTAAAATAAATGCATCACTATGCCCATCTGTCAACTTGTGTGAGAAATCATGAATAATGTGATACCGTACAGCATGAGGAAAACACATCTCTATGCATATATGTCATGTGTGCATGTCAATGCAATCTATCTCAGAGATTGTACTCATGTAATCACACTCTCAGAGTACTCAATCTCATTATCTGGCATTCTCTCTCACTATGCTCAGCATACTCAATCACTCAGCGGTATACAATACCTGCAGCGGCATGCAGTCCGATCCCTGTTTATAGTCGACTGCGCTCACTGGGGGTGTGTACAGACTTATGAGGGGCTCCTACAGCCCAAGCGCTATAAGCACGGACAACTCACGTGCTTCACGGACAACTCACGTGCCATAATATAAATATCTGGATCCGCATGGCCAATTCACGTGCTGCACGGTCAACTCACGTGCAATAATAATATAAAGATCCGCACGACCAACTCACGTGCTGCACGGCCAGCTCACGTGCAATAATAATATAAGGATCCGCACGGCCAACTCACGTGCAATAATAAGCCAATAAGGCCTGCTGCAGGCGGGCAGTCCCGATCCATATAATAGTAATAATATATATAAAACCAACATGGCCTGCTGCGGCGTGTAGCCCGATCCCAAAAATATTCTCACAATCAGGCCCTCGGCCTCCCTCAGTCATCAATCTCTCCAGTCTCTCTCTCACGGGCTCACAATGTCATGAGAATAGCCCAAAAATGATGATATGATGTATCAATAAATAACAACAGAGACTGAGATATGATATGCAATGAAATGAATATGACTAAGTATGAATTTTCAACATAACCAATAATTCACAGCAATATGACCTCTGTGGGTTCCAATAATACTGGCACATAGCCTCAACATGATTTTTAATATGCTTTTCAGCTCAATTACTTTAACTCATAAAACCGCATGAAAAATGCCAAGATTATTTAACTACAAAATTCCATAGAAACAATTATATCACAATTTCTATAGTGCACGCCAATACGCCCGTCACCTAGCATGTGCGTCCCCTCCCAACAATTTACATAATACATATATTCAGGGTTCATACCCCCAGCTCAAAGATTAGAAGGGTTACTTACCTCGAACAAGCTAAATCCAATGTCGAGCAAGCTAAGCAATGCTCCAGAAATTCTATTCTGCGCGTATCAACTTCCAAACGGCTCGAATCTAGTCACAATTAATTTGATTTAGCTCACAAAAATTATAGGAATTAATTCCATATCAAAATACTATTTTTTTTTTCAAAAATTCAAAATTACGCCCCAAAAATTACCTGTGGGGCCCACATATCGGAATTCGATAAAACTCACAAAATTCGAACCCCCATTCAAACACGAGTCCGACCATACCAAAATTACTCAAATCCGACTACAACTCAGCCTTCAAATCCTCAATTAAAGTTTATGAATTTTTCTACTAATTTCAACCCAAAACACTAATTTATTGATAAAAATAATAATAGATTCGTGTAATTTAACCAAAACTGAGTTAGAATCACTTACTCCAATCCATATGGTGAAAATCGCCTCAAATATCGCTTCAATCAGAGCTCCATAGCTCCAAATGTGTTAAAATGGCCGAAACCTCAAAATATATCTTCTGTCCAGGCATTTACTCTTCGCGATCGCGAAGCACAAAAATTTTCAGCCCAAAATTTGCCTTTCGCGATCGCGAAAAACAAATTCCCAGCACTTCTAGACAACCTCTAATATAATGGTCATAACGTTTTGTACAAAACTTTAAATTTTAAATGGTTTAACTTTCTGTAAATTAGACATCAAGGGCTATAACTTTCATTTGTTTTTCATCTCCCCATTCCTTACAGATTGCTAGATATAATCTTCCAAAGTCAGCCCTGTGCAACAGAGATTTCCAACCTCTTCCCGGACAACCTATGGTATATCTACCATAACTTTTTGTATACAACTCCAAATGAGAAATGATTAGCATTTACGAAAACTAGACATCAAGGGCTACAACTTTCACTTTTGGATTATCTCCAAATTCCGTATAGATTGCGAGATATAAGCTTCCAAATTCGGGTCAGCGCAACAGAGATTTTGTTCTATGCGATCGCGAAAGAGCTTCCGCGATCGCGATTCACAAGGTTCCAAACTGCTGTTTGCTCTTCGCGAACGCGACCAAATGTTCGCGATCGCGATGCACACCTCTGTAGGCAGAAACCAGCAACTAAAAATGGCTTAGAAATGGTCCGAAATCACCCCGAAATTCACCCGAGCCCCTCGGGGCCTCAACCAAATATACCAACAAGTCCTAAAATATCATGCGAACTTATTCGAAGCCTCGAATCACATCAAACAACGCTAAAACTATGAATCGCACCTCAATTCAAGCCTAATGAACTTTGAACTTTCAAATTCTATATCTTGTGACGAAATACATCAAATCAATCCGGAATGACATTTAATTTTGCACACAAGTCATAAATGACATAACGAAGCTATTCCAATTTCCAGAATCGGATTCCGACCTCGATATCAAAAAGTCAACTCCCCGGTCAAACTTCCCAAAAATTCAACTTTCGGCATTTCAAGCCTAATTCCACTACGGACCTCCAAATAATTTTTCGGACACGCTCCTAAGTCTAAAATCACCATACGGAGCTATTGGAATCATCAGAACTAAATTCCGAGGTCATTTACATATAAGTCGACATCCGGTCACTATTTTAACTTAAGCTTTAAACCTTGGAACTAAGTGTTCCAATTTATTCCAAAACCTCACCGGACCTGAACCAATTGCCCTGGCAAGTCACACAACAACTGTAAATCCCAATTTTAGTAGTAAATATGGAAACGGGGTTGAAATACTCAAAACGACCGGTCGAGTTGTTACATTCTCCCCCACTTAAACATACGTTCATCCTCGAACGTGCCAAGA